GCTTTTCTCCACATTGAAACTCATTTTGTTGGATAGGGCCCATTGTTCAAGTTTGTCAAGATCTTTTTGGATCCTGAGTTTGTCTTCTGGGATGTTGGCTACTCCTACCAGTTTGGTATCATCTGCAAATTTGATGAGTTCCCCTTCAATTCCCTCATTTAAGTCATTGATGAAGATATTGAAGAGTACTGGGCCTAAGGCGGAACCTTCTGATACCCCACTGCTTACTTCTCTCCATGTGGATGTAGTGCCCTTGAGGACTACTCGTTGAGTACGTTTTGCCAGCCAGCTACGGATGAATTTGGTGGTGATGTTGCCTCCAGAAGTTATAGGTGCTTCATCGGTGGAGGTTTTTAAGAAGAGACTGAGCAGCCACTTGTCTGAAATGGTATAGGGTCTCCGGCTTGAGCAGGGGGTTGAGCTAGAAGATCTATAAGGTCCCTTCCAGCTCTATTCTAACTGATGTACGGACTCGTATGCACATAGACATACATAAATCTTAGGTCAGACATACATAAATCTTAGGTATGTGTGTTCATATATGTTTGATCTATCCAAGCCAAAGAATTTTATAATTGAATCAATATTTGAATTTGGATTTTGCTAGTCTTCTATCTGCCAAATGAATCATAAATAATGTTAGAGGTTATACTAGAATTTTGATGTTTTCATGCTAATGTAAGCTTTTTCTTTTTGCTGCTTTCACTTGTCTTGCAAATATTTGTTAAACAATAATGAAACTGACCCGTTAATATGAATCTTACAGACAAAGAGGATGCCAAGAAGAACACTCTGGACCACAGAGAGTGAGAAGCAGCATTAAAATGCAAGACAAAGCATCAATCAAAACCTTTTCTGCTTCCTCTAGAAATTTTGAAAACTCTTCTCCTGTCTCACCTGGTGAGAGACAAGGGAGAGAATAACAAGAACAAAGTTTTGAGCTGGAAAAAATAGAGCATGTGCAACTCAAGGGAACATGACGTAAGACGTCAAGGGAGATAATATCGAAATTTATAAAAAAGTGGACATAACTGGAAGTCAGTGGGAAGGAAGGTTCCTTGGATAGGCAAAAAGAACAGGCATTAATTAAACCCTTTCAGGAAGCCTTGACTTGACTCAAAGAACCTCCAAGTAGGAGATCAGAAACATTTTTGGCCTCCTCAAGAATCCAAGGATATCAGTGTTGAAAAAACCCCTCAGACTGCCTAATGTGGGAAAAATAGAGGTTGCGGATCACAGCTGATTATGCAGGAGATGATCCACCCAGTGAAAGTGGCACAAATGTTTGGAGTGTGGCAAAAACTTTACTCAGAGTAGTTCCCTATGGTTCATGGAAGGACCCATACTGGAGAGAAGCTCTACCAGACAACCCAATGTGACAAAGATTTAGCATGCACACTAATATGGTAAGACACAAGAGGACGCATGCAGGACAGAAACCATATGAGTGCCCAGATTGTGGGAAACGTTTCAGTTGGAATTCCCTCCTGATGATACACCAGGGGACTCACACAGGAGAGAAGCCATATGAGTGTCCGGAGTGTGGGAAAAGTTTCAGTAGGAATTCCAGCCTGGTGACACACGAAAGGACTCACATGGGGGAGAAACCCTATGAGTGTCCAGATTGTGGGAAAGATTTCTCTTCGAAATCTGCCCTGGTGAACCATCAGAGGACTCACACAGGAGAGAAACCATATAAATGTCATTGTGGGAAAAGTTTTAATCAGAATTCTTACCTGGTGAGACACCAGAGGACTCACACAGGAGACAAACCCTATGAGTGTCCAGAGTGTGGGAAAAGTTTCAGTCGGAATTCCAGCCTGGTGACACACCAGAGGACTCACACGGGAGAGAAACCCTATGAGTGTCCAGAGTGTGGGAAAAGTTTCAGTCGGAATTCCAGCCTGGTGACACACCAAAGGACTCACACAGGAGAAAAACACTATGAGTGTTCAGATTGTGGGAAACATTTCTCTTCGAAATCTGCCCTGGTGAACCATCAGAGGACTCACACAGGAGAGAAACCATATAAATGTCATTGTGGGAAAAGTTTTAATCAGAATTCCAACCTGGTGACACACCAGAGGACTCACACGGGAGAGAAACCATATGAGTGTCCAGAGTGTGGGAAACGTTTCAGTCGGAATTCCAGACTGGTGACACACCAGAGGACTCACACAGGAGAGAAACTCTATGAGTGTCCAGAATGTGGGAAAGATTTTTCTTCGAAATCTGCCCTGGTGAACCATCAGAGGACTCACACAGGAGAGAAACCATATAAATGTCATTGTGGGAAAAGTTTTAGTCAGAATTCCTACCTTGTGGAACACCAGAGGACTCACACAGGAGAGAAACCCTATGAGTGTCCATATTGTGGGAAAGGTTTCTCTTGGAAATCTGACCTGGTTAGACATCAGAGGACTCACACAGGAGAAAAACCCTATGAGTGTTCGGATTGTGAGAAAGATTTCACTTCGAAATCTGCCCTGGTGAACCATCAGAGGACTCACACAGGAGAGAAACCATATAAATGTCGTCACTGTGGGGAAAGTTTTAGTCAGCATTACTACCTGGTGAAACACCAGAGGACTCACACTGGAGAGAAACCCTATGAGTGTCCAGATTGTGGGAAAGATTTCACTTGGAAATCTGACCTGGTTAAACATCAGAGGACTCACACAGGAGAGAAACCATATAAATGTCGTTGTGGGGAAAGTTTTAGTCAGAAATCCGTCCTGGTGAGACACGAGAGGACTCACACGGGAGAGAAACCCTATGAGTGTCCAGATTGTGGGAAAGGTTTCAGTTGCAATTCCAACTTGGTGAAACACCAGAGGATTCACACAGGAGAGAAACCCTATGAGTGTCCAGATTGTGGGAAAGATTTCTCTTGGAAATCTGAACTGGTTAGACATCAGAGGACTCACACAGGAGAGGAACCATATAAATGTCGTTGTGGGGAAAGTTTTAGTCAGAATTCCGACCTGGTGAGACACCAGAGGACTCACACGGGAGAGAAACCCTATAAGTGTCCAGATTGTGGGAAAGGTTTCAGTCGCAATTCCTACCTGGTGAAACACCAGAGGACTCACACAGGAGAAAAACCCTATGAGTGTCCATATTGTGGGAAAGATTTCTCTTGGAAATCTGAACTGGTGAGACACCAGAGGACTCACACAGGAGAGAAACCCTATGAGTGTCCATATTGTGGGAAAGGTTTCTCTTGGAAATCTGCCCTGGTTACACATCAGAGGATTCACACAGGAGAGAAACCATATGAGTGCCCAGAGTGTGGAAGAGATTTCAGTAGTAGGTATAAACTTTTAAATCATGTAAAGTTACACATAGCAGAGTAACCGTTCAAATGCCCAGATTATGGACAGTGTTTCGTAGTAAATTCCTCTCTTATTACAGAAGAAATTCCATGTGAGGAAAAATTTGATCTTAAATTTTGTTTCTTATGTCTTACTGGAAGCCTAGCTGAGAAATTATTAATTTCTTGCATGATTTTTTTTAGTCAAGCGTGTTTTATTAAACATTAGGGAAGAAATCTGAGCAAGATTGATGGCATTTTGATGGTCTTGGAGTCTCAAAAAGGTGATTCTTGCTTTTGTTCAATTTAGAAGTTAACCAGGCCTCCTGGCCTTACTAACTACCCATTGGGAACCCCATATTAATACAACATATCTTATGTGCAGGCAGAATTTGAAAACAACATTTAATATGGCAGAGTACTTGAGTAAAAAGGTTTGGCTGAGATCAGCATATGTGGGATATTGGGGTAGATTTTAGGGGTG